ATGATTGTAATTCCAGGTTTATTTTTATGCGAAAAACCCTCATATCTGGAGCTATAAAATAATACATATGAAATAATGAAGTATATTGTGTATAATGTAATTCGAATATTACTATTGCAGGCAATTTTAAATTATTTATAYGAATRTATCTAACAATATAAATTGTTATAATTTCTTTTTAAAATTGTACAAAAATTACAATTTTATAATTTTTTTGGGGGCCCTCTTTTTTTTAGGGGCCCTGGGCTATAGCCCTCTTAGCCCCCCCCCTTAATCCGGCTCTGGTGAGACGTGATCTTGGGTAGTATGATTAGATCGTGACAATTAAATTTTGGACTCGACGTGTGGTGTGGTATAAATGAACACGACGTACTACCTCGAACTTGGGTAACCGGACTTTGAKATAAACCAACTATTTCACTTTCACATTTACGTCGGGCCAATCCGATGCGAGCTACACAATCCGTAGTAATTGCTGAAATTTGAGACCCACAGTCCAATAATACACGGACCACATGATAGTTGCCACGTTGATCTAGAATTGGAACAAGARCTGTACCCAATAACACCGTACTTCCGGACGCTGACATGCCCGAAAATTTAGTAATGCTACCTCCGGCCTCCCCACCATCGCTTGGTGCGACTACCTGWTCGGAGGTAGTTGCAGTTTTTAAATCTGTTTGAAAATGTAATAAAGTGTGATGACGTTGTTGACATTTTCCGCATAGGTATTTGGATCTGCACATGTCTACCATGTGCGTCGAACTTAAACATGAAAAACATAATTTATGTGTTTGAACGTATTCCCGACGTTGGTGCACGGAATATAATTTAAATTCCGGACAGTGGTACACGAAATGTTCACYTCGATTACAAACGGTACATTGTTTTGGTTTATATAATTTCGACGAACGCGACGACGAGTGTTTTGTCTTTCGACCAGAATTACTCGCGGCGGTTAACGCTAACCTTGGGGCGACCGATTTCTGAAATTTATTGGTTCGAGTTTTAGTCTWGTCAACACCCTGAATATTCTCCAAAATTTTCAAACGTTTTTGCACAAAACTGATGAGATTGTCGAAATTTGGAATAGTAGATTGACAAATACTCGCTTCGAACTTTTGACGTGTTGTCGAATCTAATACACGTGAACCCAAAAAAAAACAACATAAAACCGGCGAGGTCGTCGACTCCGAGTAATTTCAACGCAACAACATTTTCCTTAAAAACATTTCAGAACGCTGTTAGAGCTGGTACTGATTCCTGAGCGATCGGCTTGAAAGCGAAAATCTTATCCAAATGAGCAGTTGCAAGTAATCGTTTGTTTTCGAATCGGTCGGACAGCGCTGACCACGCGACGGAATAATTCGCAGTCGACAACGGAATCGATTTAATAACGGATAATGCAGAACCGGTCAAACTCTGTGACAAATAATGAAATTTTTGTATATCACCGATATCAGAATCTTCGTGTACTAATGACTTAAACGTATMACGGAACGCACACCAACTTGTAACGGAACCGTCGAACGACGGCAATGCAATTTGCGCTAAACGATTGTCGATTCGGCGCCGGTTGTATAACTGCAGTTGTTTTCGACGTGCGATCAAGTATTTCGTAGATTTCGTCGACAACGGCTTCGGTGGTATCCGTTAAGGTACGTTTTCCTAGGAGCGCGTTTTTTGCGTCGTATATGACGTATTACGCTTAGCGCAGTACGTCATCCACTTATTCTTT